AGGTTTTGTGCAACCTGGTCTGGTGGTTCCCTGCTCATGGCAGGGGGGTTGGAACTGGATGATCTTTAAGGTCCCTTCCAACCTTAATGATTCTATGATCATTACAAGCCTTTTTACAAGGGCTTGTAGCAAGGGGACAAGGGGGATGGTTTGAGATTGAGAGAGGGAGATGGAGGTTGGAGATGAGGAGGGAATTCTTTGGTGTGAGGGTGGTGAGAGCCTGGCCCAGGTTGGGCAGGGAAGCTGTGGCTGCCCCATCCCTGGGGGTGTTGAAGGGCAGGTTGGATGGGGCTTGGAGCAGCCTGGGCTGGTGGGAGGTGTCCCTGCCCATGCAGGGGGTGGGACTGGATGACCTGGTGGGTCCCTTCCAACCTTAATGATTCTATGATTCCATGCTATTCAGGTTTTTCCCTCTCCTGGAAGCTCCACATCCCCAGCCAGGCTTTTCCCTTCCCCACCCCAGAGTTGCCAGCCCCGTGTTATCCAGCCCATTGCATCCCGTTTATCCCTCCCCGTGCAGGAGGGGGGACATGGGTGACGTTGGCTCCGCTTATCAAAGCTTGATCCAGTGGGAAAAGTCCCATGTGAGTCGAGCCCCAGCCCGGCAGGCGCGGACGGGAAGAGCCTTGGCCAGACTGTCCCAGGTACATGGGGAGGGGTGACATTCCCAGCACAGAGTCAAGGGATTAAAAGCCAAAAAAAAACAACAAACCAGCTATGGAATTGGGCAAAGAGAAAGGTGGGAAATGGGGTTTGGCACCCGGAGCAGCTGCAGGTTGGGATGGGGAAAGGTGGCACCACAGCCTGCCCAGCTGCTCCCAGGCTGGGTTTTTCCCTGGACTGGGATCCAGGAGCTTGGGAGCTAGAGGGGGAATCAGGAGAGGGGGAGAAGGGGAAAAAAAATAATTCCCCACGTTTCAGTTTTAATTTGGAGTTTGCTGCCCAAGTTTGAGTGTTTCCAGGGGTGGCCACACAGCTGCAAACAGCTGGAAGGAGAACAGACATTTCTCCAGCCTTTCTTTAAAAGAACCTTCATTAGTTGGAGGAGCTGGGCAGCAAAATGAAGGGCATTAAATTAATTAAGCCCTATTTTATCTCATTTTCTTTCTATAAAGGGTTGGGGGGGG